GGCGCCGGATGGGGAGGGTTGGCGGGGGGTTGGCAGAGAGGAAAGGCCCACGGGTAAAGGTGAGGGAAGGAGGAAAACCGAGCGGTGCCGTCTTTCTGCTGGGGGCAAGACAGGCCTTCCTCAGTGGGTGACTCAAAAGATCCGTGGTGGCCAGCTGGTATTGGGTTTGGGTGTTTCTCTTCGCTTGAGAGAACCATTTTCACCTGTGGTTGGAAGTATGTGTGTGTGGGGGTGTTGGTTGTTTGTTTAAAATAAAATAAGGATAATACTTCATGGAGAAGACATTAAAAGCTTTCCACTCATCTAGTGGAGAACTGTAGTTCTTAAGCCATGTAGTTATTAGTTTATAGAAGCTCCGTGCCCCTGCTAAGGCTGGTGTGTTTCACCAAAATAATGTGCGGTGCTGCTCCGGTTCCTGCCAACAGATAGGCTGTGCTTCAGCTTTTCTTTCGGATGCCATTGGTGGGACTTTGATATCTTTTCAAGGAGCCGGTGTGAGAGGAAGCTTTCAGCCTGTCAGCAGTCTGTGGGAATTCTGGTGTAGCTTAAGCTCTGAATTAGCAGAAACTGGAAAAACTAAGACCGTAAAATCACCTTTGCTAGCTTGGGGAGACAGAGAGGAAGAGGCATGGCAGTAAAACATTCATCTGAGACTGGCTGTTAACATTGATTGCAATTCTGGAGGTTGGGATTAGTTTGAGTAACTGTAACTGAGACACGTTACTTGAATGCAATTTGTTCCAATTCTTGTTTTGTTTTGCTGTGTTCTGCGGTGTGGGGTATTGTTACTAATTTTAAGTTTTTAACTGTTAACTTATTGTTACAGAAAACCTAAAACTAAGAGAGCAAAAAGGTTTCTTGAGAAGAGAGAACCCAAACTTAAAGAAAATACAAAAAATGCTATGCTCATAAAAGGAGGAAATGCAAACCTAACAGTGACTGAAGTGCTAAAAGACATTGTAAGTTGTTGGACACAGCATGCCACCTTTAATTATATAATCTTTTGAGCTACACCAAGGGTACCTTCCTTTCTCTTTTTCTTAAAATTTGCATATTCTCTGCTGCAAGATCAACATTTTCATACTCGCCCTGTCCTTTGACTGGTACTCCAAGGGTGTCATTACCTAGCCGTCGGTGGAGATTATTTTGTTCCAGTTTCTTCTTTGCCAGAAGTTTTGAACTCATTATCTTCATGATTTTTTTTTTTTTTTCCCTGGTTGTCAAGTAGGTGTGATGAAGTGTTGCAAGTCTAGTTGAAAACAAGAGAATTAGGTACTGGATCACACAGCTGAAGTTATATCCCAGCATCCTGTAAACTGCTTGTGTGTACTGATACGGAGCTTTCAGCCTCTCCCAAAACTTAAACTTACTAATCCTGCGTCCTAACTCCATACCTGAAAATATTATAGCTGTTCCTGCACTCTTTTCTCTCCTTGATCTGTTGTCTTCTTACTGTCTTATGCTGATGATAGTCAGCTTGTTTTTCCTCATGCCACTAGAAGCAGAGAGATTCCATTATGTGGCTTTGATTTCAGCTGTTTCTCAGTTACTTTGATATTTCTTAGCGTCTAGAAATAAATGCTTCTGCAATTAATTTTGAACCAAGATTAGTACTACTAACTGGAAGGGTATATTGTGAAAGGGTATATTGATTTGCACAAACAATTACTGTATTTCATGTGATCGTGTAAGTTGTTGGGTTTTAGGAAACAGTGCTGTGTATTTAAATGTATAAGAGATAACACGTGTTTAACTTTGTCTTTTGCAGTATGCTGTCAAGAAGCCTTTTGCTGTACTGTATAAAAAGTAAGTGGTCTCACTTTGACATCTCGTACTCTTCTGACAAGACAGAAGACATCATTTGGTAATTTCAAAGCATGAATAGAGATGCTGGCTAGTGTGGGGGCTCAAACAGTGGAAGGGGTTGCAGAAGGTGGCTGAAATTCATCATAAGTTTCAGTAGACTGTAAACAAGCTACATGATCATTGTTGGTGCTGAGTCCAGTTCTGCACCAAGTGTTACGGAGCAGGATTCAGCAAACTTGAACAGTTGGCTTCTCTGGCTGATCTGTGCAAACAGCTAGCAAGGTTCTGTGTGCAGTGGGTAGGCTGGAGTTCTTGTATCTGAATTCTTATAAATTTGAGTTACAGATGATAACAATAGACATGTCTTGCTCAAAATGGGAACCCAGTATCTGTATGCAGTGCATAGTGCGGAGACATTAATTGTAATAGCTACCTTTTATGTTGGATGAACGAGCAAAGGCAGTTGTTTATGAAGTGTCACTGGTGGTGGTCTGGAAGTCAGGACCCAGGAGACAGGAAACCTGGAGGAAAGTACTTAAAGTGGCAATGGCAACACTAAGGAACTCCTGTCAGTATTAATGTGGCTTACAGTTTGAACTGAAACTGAGCCCCTAATGCTGGAGTTTCCAGTAGAATGCAGAATTTGAATGTTATCAAAGAACTAATTAGAAGTGCTTGTCTGGGCCTGTACTTCTCTTAATCTTTCTTTTTTTTTCCCCTTTTTTTCTTCCTCTCAGGAAAAATATTACCAGGCCTTTTGAGGATCAAACATCATTGGTAAGTATAAACCACATCTTGTTTTATGACATTTTACAGCCTTAAAGTCTTGAAGAACTTTATTGGAGGATAATTTTCTATTACTCTGTGAGGAACTAGGTGAAAAACAAAGTTTATAGGGAGTTTGGGTAAGTTGAAGGTAGGACTATGTCTGGATTTACGGTGTCAGTAGGCATTTTTTTCCTCTAGTTGCAAGACAGAATTGTCACGTTGTGAGGACTTTGTCTTTACTGTAAATGCATGTTTCTGTAAACTAACAGGCAAATTTTGGAGTAACGCTGTTACAAGTAACAGTGCTTGATATGACAGGAAGATCAAAGCATTTTATTTCCGTTTTCTAAGTCACTTCTTTAAACTGCCATAGCTTATAAACAACTTGTTTTCAATTTGGTGAATTCATATGTTAAGATAGTTAAATGGAGGGGTCATAGCTTTCTGTGACTTTTCCTTGATTTTGAATAGAGGAAGAAAAGCCCTGCAGAGTACCACATACAAACACACGCATCAGCTGTGCAGATGTGGGATAGTCACAGAGTTCTTTTCCAGCATTGAGTCAAGAACCATCAGAAAATTGAGCAATTTCAGTTAAATATGTGTATTTGGCCTGTAACAAGGTTGGAAAAGTGACTCTTCAGGGGGTGGGAGGATGTTTGGAAATCCATCTAGTGACACGCCCCTGTCTGGATTTGGTGTTGATTCAGTGCTTTAAGGTCAAGATAATTTAGGAGCAGGAAGGCAGAAAACAGAGGGGCTAATCCCAAGATTACATCTTGTACGTTTGCTCTTTATTGATGCATTACTTGAACTGCTGAAATATGTCTGTCATAAAAGCAGTATATGTATTTCCTTCAACAAAAACAAGACAAAGGAGATGGTTGTGTATAGTTGTGGTTTTACAATAAACACAAAACTGAATTATCTCCAGGTAAGTTGTTTTCTTCCCAGAGGTCATGATCTGGTAACGTTTGCTCTGTGCCACTGCTACCTCACATAGGGAAACGAGGGTCAGCTTTCCAATGTGAGAGGCAGTTGCTGAAGTAACTCACTGAAAATGCACACTGAAGTTGGGAATTTTGGGGTATGGTGTTAAGTAAATCTGTGTACGAAGACGTATACACACTGGGCAAAAATGCACTTTCTTGTCTGAAAGGGATTGTGAAAATAAATGGGAAACATATCTAAAGAATTCTCTGTAAGTAAAAAGGGAGAGGAGGGGAGAGATAGCTAACTGAAAAAAAAGTGAAGGCAGCCAATAGTGAGTACTAGAGGAGTTGCTGCTTAGACAGTTGAATTAAGCATTTTTAATGTGTTAGGAACAAAAGAATGATTGTGGTTGCAGCATAGATACACTGACACAGAAAGTTACTTAGTCTGCATTAACTCTGATGCTGAGGAGTTGTGTTATGTGCCTCTCTTCTGTTCTTGGCATGAAGCACAGTAACACAGCCATACTTAAAACATCTCGAGCGGGACGGAAAACTTACTGTAGGCAGCGAGGAAAGATTTCACAGAATCACAGAATGGTCAGGGCTGGAAGGGACCTCTGAAGATCATCTAGTCCAACCCCCCTGCCAGAGCAGGGTCACCTACAGCAGATTGCACAGGACAGCGTCCAGGCGGGTTTTGAATGTCTCCAGAGTGGGAGACTCCACAACCTCTCTGGGCAGCCTGTTCCAGTGCTGTGCCACCCTCAAAGTAAAGAAGTTCCTCCTCATGTTAAGATGGAACTTCCTATGTTCAAGTTTGTCCCCTCTTGTCCTATCGCTGGGCACCACTGAAAAAAGAGTGGTCCCATCCCCCTGGCACCCTCCCTTTAAGTATTTATAAGCATTAATAAGATCCCCCCCCTCAGTCTTCTTTTCTTTAGACTAAAAAGAGCCAAGCCCCTCAGCCTTTCCTCACAAGAGAGATGTTCTAATTCCCTAATCATCTTTGTAGCCCTTTGCTGGACCCTCTCCAGCAGTTCCCTGTCCTTGAACTGGGGCATCCAGAACTGGACACAATACTCCAGATGTGGCCTCACCAGGGCAGAGTAGAGGGGGAGGATGACCTCCCTCGACCTGCTGGCCACACTCTTCTTGATGCACCCCAGGATGCCATTAGCCTTCTTGGCCACAAGGACACATTGCTGGCTCATGGTCATCCTGTTGTCCACCAGGACTCCCAGGACCCTTTCCACAGAGCTGCTCTCCGGGAGGGCAGCCCCCAACCTGTACTGATGCATGGGGTTATTCCTCCCCAGATGCAGTACCCTACACTTGCCCTTGTTGAACTCCACAGCATTCCTCTCCCCCCAACTCTCCAGCCTGTCTGATAATTTCTGGGAAAACATGGCAGCTAAAATCATTCTGATATTTTAAAAGGGGTCCTGTGGGGAACTTTCATTCTTGTAGCCTCAAAACAATGGGGCTGGGTCATTGAGAAGGGTGTCAACAAACAATCAGAGACTAGAAAGGTGTGGAAAGTCAAATCAAGTTAAGTGTTTGGGTTTTTTTTAACTTTGTTACAGGCGTTATTTTAAAAGGGCAATTTTGCAGTGTATGTGATGTTGGATATGCAAGGACACTTTTGAGGCATTTGAGTTTGTTGCATCTTTTTAATAAAATATCATACAGCTGTTAGAGAATTTACATGTATCAACACAGTGATTAAGAGAGCTGTATGAGCAGGCGTTTCAAGGGAAGTCCCTTCTGGTCTGTTCTTGATCTGTCTACAGTCAGTATTTTTCAGGGACCTGACGGCAGAGCTCAGTGCTGAGCTGTGATTTGTATGTGCAATTAATCCAGCCTGGGAGTGCTCCTGGGGGTGTCCCTCCTGACCTTCCAGAGGAGCAGAGCTGCAGTGTCCTCTCTGAGCTGCTGCTGTTGCAGGGGTGGGAGGACATGCAGTGGCTTTTTCTGCTTCACAGCTGCTAAGTGCAGGTATAGAAACTGTGGTACTTCTGGGAAGTACTGGATAAATAGCGTGTGTGTATATCTAGGAACCACGGTTGACAACACAGAATGAGGGGCTGCCTTAGGAAGCAGCAGTGCATACAAAGGCTTTGGAGTTGGACATCCTCAGAAAGAATTGCTGTAATATTGGCTCTGGACATAATACCATAATAGGTTCTCTATCTACTCTGCCTGGAGAAAAGATCTTCTCTATGATAGTCACCACTGGCTTGGTTTTAAGTAGCATTTTAGTGTTAAATAATAATTTGTCATGAAGTTACTCTGTAGTAGGAGTCTTCTGCCCAAGTGTGAGAACATTAGATACTTGCAAGTGTTCTGAGGCTTGCTTGTTGAGGGGATTAACTGGTTGTTGAGAAGCTGTTAGGCAAAGCTGATATGCTGCATAAAGCTTAGCTGGGTAACTAGAATGAGGCATTGTAACTGCAGCCGACTTGAAAATACTTACTCCTCAGGCAAGGAGAAGTAGTTGAAGGTATATTATATAAAAACAAATAATGAGGAATTACAAAAAAGGGCATTACAGATAAAATGGCAAGAAAAAATTGCCTGTATTGATTTTTAAGACTGCAATGGGAAATAAAAAAAGAAATTAATTGCTATTTGAATCTTGATTCTGGCTGTCAGTTTTAGTTTAAGTGGACCTGGACATGCTCAAAACTCTTCTGGTAAGTGCAGTTGCTCTTCTCATTAAGTGGTTCCTAAACTCATGTGTTTGTGACATATAACTTCACCAAATATTTTAAACACTGCAAACTGGAACTCATGAGTTTTACTCTTTTCCTTAATTATAGGAATTTTTTTCCAAGAAATCAGATTGTTCTTTGTTTCTGTTTGGCTCTCATAACAAGAAGCGACCTAACAACCTGATAATAGGTAAGATGTCTCACTTCGGTTTTTATTTGGATGAAAAATATAGTTTTCAGTGAGTATTTAAATAGCTGGATTTTCTTTTTTTACTTTCACAGGTCGCATGTTTGACTATCATGTCCTAGACATGATTGAGCTAGGCATTGAGAAGTTTGTATCCCTAAAAGATGTGAAGGTAAGGAATTGCTACTTCAGTGACATCTAATGGTGGATTTTTTTTGTGCATTGACTTCTTGTGTGCTTTGAAGTAAGGACAGGAGTTGTTTAAAAACAGTCTTTTATGTGGTGTGTGAGGATTGCTAATTTGTGTACGCCAGAAAGTTATTTTCATGCTCTGCTTTATATTTGGTTTTGGTTGTTTTGAGCAAGCTTGCAACTTTCATTACAAATTCTTTTTTTAGACTTGGTTTATTCCTAGTATTTTCATTTTGAATTAGAGTTACATTTACAAAATTCCTTAGGTTATGCTTGTGGGAGGTTCCTCTATAAACTGGCATAGGCTTTCAAAACTGAAATCCCTCTTCTCAAATTATAACCGAAGAGGGTCACTCTGCTGACTGAGATGATTCTGAAACTTTCTTTAGCTTTCAGTAGCACATAAATGCTAGTTTTCAGGGAACTACACCTAATTCAGACAGGGAGCTAAGATCTTGATTATTTGAACCCGGAGAAAATTCACCTTTTACGGCCATGTTAGGCTCATTTTGGCAAGACTAAAACTTATTTCATATGTGTGTACTTTTGTATCGAGCAATTCATACACTGAAAAAATAGGATTTTTTGTCGTCCCTGTTTTCATCAGTGTGTAAATTGTCAGGGAAGTCTAGAAGGGTAGTGAATCACAGAACCATAGAATGGTTTGGGTTGGAAGGGACCTTAAAGATCATCAAGTTCCACCCCCTAATATCTTCCTAATATGTAATCTAAATCTACCTTCTTTCAGTTTAAAACCGTTACCCCTCCTCCTATCGCTATGCTCTGTGATACAGAGTCCCTCTGCATCTTTTCTGTAGTCTCCTTTTAGTGCTGGAAGGCTGCTATAAGATCTCCCCGGAGCCTTTTCTTCTCCAGGCTGAACAGCCCCAACTCTTTCAGCTGCTCCTCATAGGAGAGGTGCTGCAGCACTCAGATCATCCTCGTGGCTCTCCTCTGGACTTGTTCCAACAGGTCCGTGTCCTTCTTACGTTGGGGGCCCCAGAGCTGGATGGAGGACTCCAGGTGTGGTCTCACCAGAGCAGAAGGGTAGAATCACCTCCTTCAACCTGCTGGCCAGACTGCTTTTGGTGTAGCACAGGGCGCCACTGGCCTTCTGGGCTGAGATCACACATTGCCAGCTTGTGTTGAGCTTTTCTTCAACCAAGACCCCCAAGTCCTTCTCGGGGCTGCTCTCAATCCATTCGCTCCCCAGCCTGTATTTGTGCTTGGGATTACCCTGACCCACATGCAGGACCTTGCTCTTGGCCTTGTTTGAACTTCATGAGGTTCACATGGGCCTACCTCTTAAGCCTGTCCAGGACCCTCTGGGTGGCATCCCTCCCCTCCAGCATGTCAACCACACCACACAGCTTGGTGTTGTCAGCAAACTTGCTGAGGGTGCACTCAATCCCACTGTGCACCTGCATTGAAGAAACTGCCTTTTATAAAGGTGAATGTTCCCCTTGAAATCAGATTGTTGGTAGTGTCTATCTTTATAGCACTGTTTAGGAAATTGTAGTCAAGTAATTGTATTTGTTGGCATTGGGTGATTGACTAAACTCTGCTTTTAGCCTTTTTCCTGTACTCTCTAGTGTCAGAAGTACGAGAGAGTTGTTTCCCTCTAAGTTTAGTTTTCTTGTTAGTAGTTGCAGTCAAATTCACTCGTTTGACTGCGAGGGGTTATCTTATACATTTTATAGTAGAGAGTCTCCTTTTTTATCCATCGCAAAGAATAATACAATTCACCCATTTCAAAACAAAAGTCCTTCCATACACATACAGTGTTGTTCAGTGAAAAATAAGTGTCTATTCTGTCTGTATTGATCACAGGTCATGATGATTTTTTTCATTCAGTGTTGAATGGCTAACCACCTATTAAGTCAATAATATGTTCCCTAACACAGTCTGAATTTTTGTTCTGTTTTAAAATTCTTATTCTACAGAACAGTAAATGTCCTGAAGGAACAAAACCAATGTTGATATTTGCTGGTGACATGTTTGATGTAAATGAAGAATACAGAAGACTGAAGAGCCTTCTTATTGGTCAGTATTTTGATTATTTGAGCAGTAAGATTGCATAAATCTTCAGTAATATGATCTGTTGGGAAATGCTAGTTTGTCAATAAATGTTTGCTTATGTTCAGCACGGAAAGAAAACAAGAACAGGCGCTTGTAAATTTCATGTCATGTGAAATGAAGTTGACTAATCATCATGACTGTTAAGGCAGGGGGAGGGGGGAAGACTAGCCTAAAAGACTCTGAAGTTGAAACTTTGTGTTCACTAAAATTCATTATTTTGATTGTGGGAAAGTTCTGGCATTTTTCAAAAAGTCTTTACCTTGTAATTATACTGGATCATCACTTTTCTAACCAAATAATGCTTTTGAAGTATCTAATTTGAAATCAGTGTATTAAGTTCAAAAGTGAGGTACTTTTGCTTAGAAAAAAGTCAAATCAGCATAACTGAACTTGTGTTTTTATAATGAAAGCATTTTCTGTTGGAAATTTGACCAATTCTAACAAAAGTGCCATTGATTAGAGTACTTGGAAAGAATACATGCGGTAAAAATCAGCTGTACGTAACAACTGTGTCATAACTTCAAGGCAGGCTTGGATCTTAGTAAACACACTGGCATAAAGTCTTTTATTATCTCAAGGCTGGAGGCTCTGGAAGATAAAGTACATTGTGTGTTCTTTTTTCTGGGGAACTACAAAAAATGATTATACTTTTCATAGGGTAGCTTTTTGGCTCATAGAAGTCACGGTACTGTATCTATATGGTACTGTATCTCTTGATACTTAAAAAACACATCTGTCTTGGTAGAACTAGATCTAGTTAGTAGGGTGGTGGTGGTTTTCTTTTTAATAGGTTTCCTAAAAGTAGATTACTTTTCTTTTTTTCTTAAGCTCTGCTAAAATACTGAAACCAGCCCAATAAGAACAGTCTTGTTCTTTCAGTTCCATTCTTGGGTTGTACCAATTTATAATCTTATGGCTTTGCAAGATCTCCCTTTCATATAAAATAAATGTTGGTTGGGCTTTTTTTTTTTTTTTCTAGGCAAACAGACAAATGATTGCTCTTTAGAAACAGACCTTAGAAATGAGATTTTTTTTCTCTTAGTCTTATAATTCCTTAAAGCGAGATGTTTAATATGGAATGAGACTGAAAAGGGAGCATGGGAGGAGAAAATTTGCATCCTCTCAGTACAGCTGACTGGTTCTTGGGGATAGATGAAAGGCTAGTAACTGTGCTTATAAACATTTGAAGGTGGGTGAATATTGAATGCAAAGCTAAGTGATTTATAATACTGCATGTTTGTGTCACTGTTAATGAATATTTACGCTGCAGGAAGCAGGTGCATTATTTTCTGAAGTGTGTCGTGGGCAGGCATCTGCACGATGTTGGTGATTGGCATCCAGATGTGCTCATGCACCCCATGATCAAACAGCTTGATACCTTAAATGGAAGACATGTATCGTTAGATAGATGCCAAATAACTAACTAGTCTTTCCTGTCCTATTTCTTTTTATGTTCAGCTGTCCTTTCTCCTTTCTTATTTATTTGCCTTTAATGACTTTGCAGTCAAATGTGATCAAATCGACACGCAATCTTTCTTCTTGAATGTACTCCAAGTACTCCAGGTCTTAATGTTCTGCTGACTTCTATGAAATACCTAGATGCAAAACAACAGACAAAGGAGAAGGTTAAGGAGCGTAAAGGCTTGAAGGTATCACTAACCAATTAAAATCATTTGGGTAATAATTTGACCATGCTTCAAAATTGCCCTTAACTGATAGGGATGAATGGATTCTTTCTGTTCCTGAAAAGATAGTGCTTTTAAGCTGCCACTCTATTGCTAAGAAAGATAGAGAAGTGTCTTTATAACAACAGCAGCAAATATTTTGTTACTGTAGCAGTATTGTTGGGATCCCAGAGGGAATATTAGATTGCTAAGAGCTTCTTGTTGCCAAAGCAAAGTGATGCCAGTGATGCTGGTGAACAACCAAGCCCCATTGGCCTTTGTGGTATCAAAAAGGTTTATGTATGTTTGGGATATCACCTTACAGTAGGGTCTTTATAAAATTAAAGGCAAGGGTGAGTTATTGTCTTCATGGTAACCAAACCCTGTAGTCTGCTTAAATTGTGAACTGCAAGAAGTTATTTAGGGGAAATAAATGGCAGCTGCTTTTTTTTTCTGTAGAGACCTGTAAGACAAAGACATCCCTTTCTTTCTCTTTTGGTTTTCGTTGCCTACTGATGTGGTAGTGTAGGAATTAATTTATGATATAAGTCCTTGGAATGCAGTTCATGAAATTCTAATAACTTCTTAGGCTTGTATTTATAAAATGTTTTATCTCTCACAACACTGCCCGCTTGCTAGTTCTGTTATTGTACACCGATTTAACCTTAAAAATGGTTAGGCGCTACGTGACTTGCTTATACGCTTTCTAAAATGTTGGTTTCCAGGAGACCTCTACAATTTTAGATTGACCATCAGCTTGTTCTTCATACAGCCTTCCTCACACGGACTTTTTGGAGGGTCTCAAAGATTTGTGGGTTCCTTCTGGCCAAGAAAGGGGATGGCTGGGAAATGTCTGGGATACAGTTTAAACCCTTCTAATGCTAACCATAGCTACATAGGTTACAGTGTTACCAGCTTTTGGATACAAATTGATACGAAAAGTAGTGTATAGACTCTTTCCAAAATAATTTAGGAATTTAAGCTGGGAGTGGAAAGGTCCTGTGAAGCTCTCTGTAGGAAAAAGTAAATCAGAAGTTCTGGAAACATGTTGAGCGCAAGAGGAGAAAGAACTAGGAATGGAAAGAAAGGAGAAAGCAAGTCTCTAGTCCAACCAAAGCAAGAGTTGTAAATTAAGGTACATTAAAAAAACGTCAAATCTCTGGGTATACTGAAGCATAAGGTTTCTGCAGCTGTTCAGCAGTGCCAGGAAACAGAAATTCCTGACCACCTGCATTTGTTTGGAAGTGATCATCCTGCGGGTAAAAAGACATATGATGCCACAGGAAAATACGAAAAGGAGATGTTGCCAATAAAACCACTGTAAATGTAAGCTTGTGTACCCGCAGCGAACTAGTCAAAGAGAAAATATATGCCAGAAGCAAACAAAATATTTTATTTGCAACTGTTCCTCTAACTACGAGGTCAACCCACAAGAGGAGGGGAGAGAATATTTAATTGACCAAGGAAATTTCCTGGCTAGATTCCAGCTGATATCTGCCAGCAAGACTTTGTTTTGGATGTCACTCCAGTGCTGATACTCTTGAAAAAGGTAGTGGAGGAAAAGACAGCTAGCTGAGGGATCTGAAAATGGGACAGAACGGAAAAGACTGATGTGTTTTGCATCTGTTAGCAGTTCTCCTATGTTTCAGCATTGCCCTGTCATGTTTATTAGCACACCTTGTTCCTTCAGTCAAGGTCACATTCTTTCTCCACCCTCTGCATATGTTGGACAGATTGCTGTGCTTATTGCAAGCTCTCTGATTGCACGGTATTTTTTTCATAGCCTGATATAAGAACCGTTCTAGAGACAGCTTATTTTGTATTTAACCTGTATTTCAGTGTTCTCTTTACAAAATAAGCAAAATAAGGTCTTATTTTTATAGTTACGTGTTGGGCATTAAATAGAGAAAACATTAATTGTAATGACGAATACTGCTTTACCTAACGGACAGAAGTGCTTTGTTGTGAGGGAGGTATGAAAGAAACGATATTTTTAAACTTTTTCCCCGAGTCAGTGAGAGAAAATGTAGGTAAGAGTAGACAAGGTACAGTTTCATTCTGTTTTCTACTGGTTTGATCCTTTTTTGTACTCATTCAAATCTGGCTCTGATTAAGAGTCTTAAGTATCAGTTTGTTGAATTATGTCTTTAAACAGATATCTGAACTAATGGATTCTCTGTATTTTATGTTTAGCTGAGCATGAACTGGCCTAAACACAAAATAAGATACATTTCATTTTTCTGACTTTAGAGCTCAATATTTAGAAGAATAGACAATGCAATTATCCCAATTAGCTTAATAAAACCAAGTTACTGCTCTGAACGTATATTTGCTCTTTTCCAGGCACTTATTTTTAGGTGGTGTGCACATTGCTACCAAATTATCTCTGGGAAGTCACTGTGTTCCTGTCAGGCTTTCTGCACATGTTTGGTTTCACCAGCGCAAGAGCTAACACATGGAATGTTAAGTTTCTCTCCCATGTTTTCGCAAGGCTGCAGTTTTAAGTAGCGGCTATTTCATGAGATTCCCATTAAACTTACAGATTAGGCTTTTTCTAGACCTGTCCTATGTATAGCCTTGCTTAGTTATATGCAATAAAAACATCTATATAGGTAAGGAGTTCAGTTCAGTCTTGTGAAGCAGGTCTGTTATGAATTAAATCAATTTGTTATAGTCAGCTGTTGGCTTGACTTTTTCAGCCAAGAAACCTGGCATTTATTCTTTTTAAATGTTATTTCAGATTTCTTCAGAGGTCCTAGTGTGCCCAGTATTCGTCTGGCTGGTTTAGAGTACGTTCTGCATTTCACAGCTCTAGATGGGAAAATTTACATGCGAAGCTATAAGTGAGTATGTGTTTTATCTATTTGTTTGCTTTTTGGTACACTTGTCAACTTTTCCCCCAATTTAGCCCACAGTTGTGTAATTCAACTGGCTTGAGCAATAGTTTGCTGCGTTTAAAACATGTAATGCATAGAGGTGTTCCAGCGTAACTCAGAGTAACTTGTACAGCAGAAGGAAAACAAGCCCTAAACCTGCTGCTTCCTTCCTTGTTGAGCTCCCCCTTCTAGCAAGGAGGATTGCTCTTTCATATTGTTGGATTAATAAGGTGGTGTGAATTGATTTGGTGAATTCCAAGTACTGTCTTAGACTTCATAGGCTTAGTCTGTTCTCAGGCTGATTTCTAGGACTGTCCTGACTCAGGTGTGTGTCACAGAACGACAGGTGGGAGGCTGCAGCCAGCAGGGAAAACAGGAAAAGGCAGGAGAAGACAATCTTTCTTGCTGCATTGGTGTTCACCCTCACAGTTCATGGCCTTGCCTTAGCAGGCTGTGAGCATTCGTAGCTTGGTTCTGTGCAATTTTGATACCACAAAATCACTTTTGTTGGGCTTGTTCTTCAAAACAAACAAACAAACAAAAAACTTTCACTATTTTGAATTTGAGGAGTGATATGACTTTCAGGGTACTGGGGCTGAATTTTAACAGTAATGCTGATAATACCAGTCTCATGGTGGGGGGGCGAACACATTACCTTAGCCAGGTTATATTTTAGGTGTGTTCAAATTGTCATGGAACAGATTTAAAATACTGTAAGTTGTTATTGACAGACATCTTTCTCAATAATAGAGTTAGCAGTAGCAATTGTTTTTAATAGTCTTCCGAACTGCAGGGTTGAACTTGCCCTTTAGGAAGACTGGCAAATCTTTTATCAGAGGACAATGTTGTATTTTGGTTGCTTTTCCCTTCTAGGGTGCTTCTGAAGAAATCTGGCTGTAAAATACCAAGAATTGAACTGGAAGAGATGGGACCTTCATTAGATCTGGTTATGAGGAGGACACATTTAGCTTCAGATGACCTTTATAAACTGTCTTTAAAACAGCCAAAAGCCCTGAAGGTAAATACCTTGGGAAGTATATTACTTCCAGATCTATCTGTGAAGAAGAGCAAAAGCAGAAGTATTTATTATTGGATAGTCAACCGAAGTTTACTTTTATATAGGCCAACTGATATTTCTGGGGCCACAGCACTTCTGTGGTGATCAGCTGGCATACAAACTCTCCTCTGGTAGCATGTAAGAACAGAACAAATCTTAATCTCTAAGCTCCAAGCAATGTGTGCGGTCTTGCTTTTAGGCACTTGATTTGGTAGTTTAATTATGGGTGAATGTGGTGATGGCAAGGACAGATATCTGGCTTCTCACCAGAACTCCTGGCACTCTCTACTCAAAAACAATAATGTTCTTCTTCCCTTACAGCCTAAGAAGAAAAAGAATATCTCCCATGACGTGTTTGGTACAACTTATGGTCGAATTCACATGCAGAAGCAAGATCTTAGTAAACTGCAGACACGGAAAATGAAAGGGTTAAAAAAGAGGCCAGCAGAGAAGTCAGCTGAAGATGGTGGGGTTAGTCCCAAAAAGTCAAAATCAGACTGATAGTCTGGAATGGCTTTGAAAACTCCTTGTACCTTCAAATTTAGTATATATGTTGTAATACAAATGTGTCAGACATAAAAGATTCAGCTGCTGTTAACTTTGGTTTTATAAAAAAAAAAAAAAATTTTAATGATTTGCCATTTTTAAGGGAACATGGGGGTATTGAGCTTTAACGTGGAACTTGGTTATTTAAAATAAAAAATGTGATATAACTTGCTTAGTTTTCCAACGTCGAGTATTTATTCTCTTTGTGTTAGCAAACATACGCTAGTCAAGCAGGTGACTCATTTCCCCAACAGTTCTATGGCTATTATGTTGGGAACCCTTGATCAGTCAGCTCATCTTATAAATTCTGTGCAGGACCAGAGTAGTGTATATGCATAGTATGCACAGCACAATGTCTCTGTTTGTTTATTGTTTATGTATTTCAGTTTTTGCAAAGCTGCAGTACTCTATAAACTATAAACCATTTTCTAAAGTGTGAACTCACAATAGGTGTCTGATGCCAGACTATGTTTTTAACTATTGCACCAAGCCTTGCTTTACACTTGCAGAATCAGGAGAGATTAAGGTGTTTTTACTGTGTTCATCACCATGGTAGCAAAGTACCTGATGTTTGCTTTAGGCATAAATGAAACCTTTACAGTTTGAATTTCAATCTTTGATGCTTGATTTGTGCCCAGAATGGAAGTATGCGAAGGAACCATGAAAGGTACAAGTCTTTTCTTCTTACCCTGTGGTCCTCCTAAGTTTGTGCTCATGAGTTAGTAAAGATTCAGTTAAAGACCTGGGTAAGGGGGAGGAGAGTTTAAGAGCTTAGTGAGACTTTGGTGTGGTGTTCTGTGTTTTGGAACATATTAAAACCTTGGGTTTTTTTCCTTCTGCTTGTCTCTTCGGGAGCTATTACTCTGCTCTTAAAGCACGTACACTTTTATCATAATTATGCTAATCATGAGCACAGCAAGCTTGCTCATCCTGGTTACGTTTTAATACTTTATCTTTTCTTGTTAGTTTTCTCGATGTAATCAGCTGAGGTGTCACATTAGAAATAGGCCGTTTGTTATTTTTACTTGTCTTTTGCGTCCTGGATGGAAGCAGTGGGGCAGCTTTGCTCTCCTTATGTGAGAGCTGCGCCCTAACTGCGGCTGTGCAAATGCCACACATAACATTCTTGCTGTGCTCATTTAATAAAATTTGTAGTGTGAAAAGGAAAGGCCTTTAAAAGTTTCGGATCTTTTTGAGGGCACAAATATACTTATCTTCAATGTATTACCTACATTTTTTCTTTGTATCCGTACACATAATAAATAGCATGGCGCTCTCTAATACCTTTTCTCCGATCTATAAACATGTGTTTGAGAAATTGATAATTCCAAAAACTTCTTCAGATTTGTATTTCCCACCGTATCTTTCTGAAGTGCAAATCGCTAAGCTTTTGACTGAAAGCCATGTTTGGTAATAGCTGTAGAATTATTGTACTAATGGGCATGCTGTCATTTACGAACCTGTAGTCGTAAAAGTAATAGCAAAAGACTATTCGTAAAAGACAGTACGCCCTTAGTCGTAAAAGACTGTAAGTTGTATTTTCCTAATGTGGAAGCTAATTTTGGTGCTTAATTTGGTGTTTAAAAACTGGATTTCATAGCAGTAATGTAGACCATCTAACATCCTGTTAGTGTAAAAAGTGAGAGTCACTCAGTAGTAGCCATCAGCGATAATCTGTTGCATCCTGGCATTGGTTTTGTTTCATGCTGCTGCTGGTTTCCTTGTATGAAGAGGAAGCTGGGAGAGGTGAGGGCTACTACACCTGCTGACAAATGCGTGTGGTTACTGCACAACTTCAGAGAGATGCAAAGTCCTTGAGCACAGGAAATCGGTCAATGGGGAGAACCCAGGTGCATTTATTCACCCTTTGCAGGGTCTTTTGTCTCTGCTGACTCAAGGTGGAACCTAAAGTGCCTGATGTTCCACACCCATGGCTGTTTGTGTCCTTTTATTCTTAGTTTTTGTACTGGTGAAATCCAGCCATGTGGTGGACAAAATGCATTAGATGTGTGAGGCAAGAAGAAATTCACCTAGATATTGTGTAAGGATATTTAGGCTATGCTTTTTCATTCTAATCACTTTCAAGTTGTGTTGTTAGCAAGAATTAAAGTTTGCTCCATTTCTGATAAATACTTTGTATTACTCAGACTGATGCTGTTTCGGTGCAAACTCTGAGTGGGAAGTGGAAATGCTCTTGTTTTGTTCTCATGGCACAAACGAACCACTCTGATCTCTGTGACAAGATAGGATGAAGCCAGATGAGCAACTGAGTTCACTGCGTCTCTTTCAGAGAAGTTTCAGCCTTGCTGTGAGGCAATGATTAAGCCACGAGGCTGGTGGCAAATGTGATTTCAGATGTACTGCATGTACAACTGCTCCTCTGCATGGTAGGCAAACTGCTACATCTTAAGTATCTGATTTAACTCAAGGTGAATGGAGATAGGAGGGCTAAATATAACCTTTCTCGTGGCATGTTTTTTATTTCCCAGAGTCTTTCAAAGTGTGAGTAAACTTTTCAGGTGCTGCAGTGTAGCTGTGCGCATGGGGAAGAGAACATGCAGTGCTCAGAGGGCAGCTGATGAGAGGGGCTTGCCTTGCCTCAATTGCCCCTCGCTTCCAGAGTTCACGGGGCTCTGAAAACATGTAAACACAGCCCCAGGGTCTGCATGGCACGGGCAAGGCGTAACTGGCATGCTCACTCCTTTCCTTTGGCTTTCATCTTCTTACCTCCCAACGCACTGGAGATAGCTTTATTTACGGGTTGAGCGCAGTAATAAATTCAGCTTCAAGAAAATCCCTGTGGGCACAGCATGGCTCCCGAGGCCGTACCTGTGTGGTAAAACAGAGGTGGAGTTGCAAATCAGCAGTCAAACCCGTGCTGTCTTTAGTCTAGCTGGCAGGGTGGCAGCGGCAGGGAGGGTACGATTTGTGCCTTCTGTGGACCTTCGGTTTGTATGCTGATGTTGCCCAGCTGTGCTGCTGGCATCGTCATTGCTACTGTTACTTAGGCTGTTGACATTATAGATAACTAATGATACACATAGAATTTATAGTCTACCTGCACTGTAAGTTTACTTGGCTCTTTTTATGTGTGGTGTAATTAAAAAAAAAAAAAAAACCACAAAAAACTAGGAAAAGAGGTAGATATTGTCAAGTGGTGCAATGTCCTAGGTTGTTGGGATTCCCACATTTTGAGGAATCAGTCCTGGGCATGTATAATCACAGCCTTAGCTGTGTGCTAGTATAATGTGACAGATAGAGCGCTGAGGGGACTGAGTGGTGTGTGTTTGAAAAAAGCATATGAACACCTTTCTGTTTCCTGGATTTTGTGGGTTTGAGTTTATCTTTACAGTTCCTTAGCAACCTTATTTGTTTTCACTGAGTGCTTTCTGGGTTTGACTGTGAGGGTTTCCTTCCCCCACTGGCTTGGTTGCAGCTGGGGAGGGTTGAAGAGAGCGTGAAGGGAGGACAGTTAAACATCACGGATGTACCAGGTGTCACACTGACTGCTGTATCCCCCAGCCAGGGGAAAAAAGGCTGACCATTGCTTATTCTGTATGCTATCAAATATAGGGGGGGTAAGGAGACTAGAGCAGAACTGCGTTGGAGACATTTTCATTATTAAAGAGAGGGAAGTGGAAAATGTTAGCTGTGCATAATATATCTAGCATAGCCATACATAATACATATTAACATGTGTATTACTTGTGGTGCAGATAATTCTCCCCTGTCTCCAGTGCAATTTATCTCATCCTTTTGGATTTTGCTAAAGTACCTCTGGCAGGGCTGATGCGTCCCAGATGCAATCCAAAGACATAGCTGAGAAATAGGTCCATTGTATCACAAGTCAGGTTTCCTAAAAATATACAAGGAAAAGAGACATGA